AAACCTCAGAGGTGTTACCCTCAACTCGATTTGTGAACGAAAATGAAATCTGCTGTATTGGTGAGTTGGAGAGGATTCTCTCTTCATCAAAGACACATCTCTTCTATTCTAGATCCTTCTTTTCTCTGCCACCTTATGCTTTGCCGAATCTCCAGTCCGATGCCAGTTTGGAGAAATCTATAAAGAATGTGCAACTTGTGAGTCAACATGTGCAGAACCTAATCCCGTAACTCAAAATTAGAAGTTCTATGAACTCCAGCTTTCTCCAGATTTGTACTCAGGAATGTCGCCCTGCAGCTTGTCAGTGTGCTCCTGGCTTGGTCCGACATCGAGGAAGATGCATCCAACCATCTCTATGCCGTGAGTTTCTAGAATCTTATCTTTGAGTAGCAGTTGATTGAGTTTACTAACCTCTGGTGTTCCAGAAGCTCCCATCACCCAATGTGGTATAAACGAAGTCTACAACGAGTGTGGTAGTATGTGTGAGCCTCAATGTAACATGATCCTCGGAGTAGTTGTGGTAAGCAGTTTGAGATCTGCTAAGAATATGCAATTCACTCTTCAGAGACCTCAAGGATGCATTGCAGTGTGCAGGGCAGGATGCGAATGCGCCCCTGGACATGTCAGACTCAACGGAGTCTGTTTACCAGAAACTATCTGTAGAAGATACTTTTGAAGATTGTACAAAATCTTTCTAATAAACTCATTTCTTTCCTCTCCTTAACCATCCAAGTGATTGAGACAATGGGTATGCCCATACAAGGGGGTCACTTGTAGTTAGAGATTTGTATTCTGATCAGGGCGGGAAAAATCTGTTTTACAATCATTTGGTCTGTTCAGCGGCTGGAGTGAGGTTGTGTGATCTTGTGTTCATGTTTCGAGGAATTTCCAATTTGATTTTCATTAGTTGGAGATAGCCTGGAGTTTTCATTTCGCTAACCATTCCATGCAGAGAGAAAGGATTTCAAACTACTGAGATTCCAATGAGTTGTAGTGGAGAGAGAGGTTCTATAATCAATCAAACAAGTTAACCATTGTTCTCTGACTTCTCGATCTCCTGGAAATGCCATCGTGAGGAGGTTCTGTTAGTGGTTATCCTATTGATTGTGGCTCGGCTCGCTTTTCGAGTATTCGTGTAGAAGTTTTAGGATGATAGGTGGGACTAATGAATTCGTTTAAATGAAACCGTTCGCAGCGATTCGCGTAGAATACAATCGTTCTAGACAGTTGGGGCAGCCCCTTCGCCTGTCCTTTAAATCCCATTTCGCTCAAGAGCACTTCTAGAGAGAGAGAGGAGTAGAGTCACCGGCTCACAGTGCCAACTGACCTGATTCAGAAACTCCACGGCTTGTATACATCCGTGGAAAAGCGTCACGTGGAAACAATTTTTAATTCAAAAATAATGACCCGGTCGTTCTCTTTCGTAAGAACAATGTAATTTCGCTCAAAGTTGATGAAATCAGATGTTTCTTGGGTTGTTTTAGATCAGAATTGAATTTTAATGTTCATGCTCCGGTTCTACAATGAAAACTCTTTAGAAATCGGTTAAATTGAAATCTTGTTGGAATCTCAGTTCATAGAAAATCCAGTTGATTCACAACATCTGCTCTGTGGCGATTTGCTTGTTCGAACCAGTGAATGAAGAAAGCAAAAACAATTATTTATATGTATTTGTTTTCTTTCTGAGTTTCATGCCATTTAACGCCTATTCGTCATCCAGAGGGAAGGCTAAACTTCTCCTCATCCGTCCGTTTGATCTGATCAGATGAGATGAAGTAATCCATTCACAAACGTTCCAAATCCCCTTTAAATCATTTTTTGTTGTTGATTATCGCCATCAATACTCTTTGTAGTTCGTTGTTGTAGTTTTGCACGAGCTGCCCATCTTCTGTTCTTATTGATTTCCTATACTTCGCCTATCTTTCTCGACTTACAGGTTATCGATTGAACTCTTGGGAGTTCCCATGTCATCGTTTCCAATGTCTGCTCTCAACCCTGCAGTTTTCCTAAATCTCTTCTTTCTTTTTTGTTTTTTTTTCGTCGTAGTTTTTTGATTGAAATTCTACTTACTCTCATCGTTGGATTCGGAAGAGATTCTGGAATTTCTTGTTTCCTAACCATTCGATCATTTATGATATTGAAATGGAGAATACTCTCTCTTGTTCTCCCTTGGCGGTAGCCTCGTTGGTTACCTCTTCCTCTTTACTGTTTGTAAGTATTGCTCACTAACAGATAATTTCCACCCTCATGTCTACTGATCAGTCATCCTCTGTTTCCACTTCATGCCTTCTGTCATTCCTTTCGTTCATGGGCATCCACTCCAACTACTCAGGCTGGAATCTTGGAAGATAGTACCATCCTATTTATCTATTAGATTATTTGCGAGTTCCCATGTCATCGTTTCCAATGTCTGCTCTCAATTCCGCAGGTTTCTTCCTTGTCAGAAGCGATTCTGAATCTTTTTGTTTCGTATCCAACTGATCGTTGTGGAATTGAAGTTCAGAAGATTCTCTTAGCGGCAGTGTCGTTGTCTAGCCTTTCATCAGTACTTTTGGAAGTTGTTTTTCACTTCATGTTTATCCTCTTTGCCAATCTTTTCGTTCATGAAGTTCAAAAAAAAATGAAAGACTCATCTGTTCCCTTCTCGAAAAGAGTTCAACTCAGTTCTCATGGCTCGTCTCCCTGTCCGTTGTTGTTATGAGAGTTTGCTTTTCTTCCATTCTCATGTTTAGTCAAACATATCTCCAGAAACTATTTCTGTGGCTGGCGCCCCTAACTATATAGTTTTCGTTGTTGTTTCTCATTTACTTATGGTTGCTTCGTTGATCAGTTGTCATTCCTTCTTCTCCTATCCTCTTCTCTTCTCGTTCAGTTCGTTTTCTTATTCACTTGCTTTACTTTCGTCTTTCAATGCGATAACCAATATGGGGTGGATTAGAGATGTAGACGATCTGGAGGATGATTGAAGTCACTGTTATATGCCGCTTAGTTCTTCAATTCAAATTCTCCATTTGTAACTGTTCAGTCTATATCGTCTTGATTGTGATTTTTGGGAATTGGTTCGAAAAGGCTGCTATCCAGCTCAGAGGGGTTGATGACAATGGAAAGCAAGGAATTGAAATTGGGAAGAAGGCACAGGTTTCAGATTGGTCCGAAGCAGAAGAAGCAGAAGCAGAGAGGTCAGGTAAGTTTGAACCAGAAAATGTCAAAAAGGAGAGGGGCCATGCCAAATTTTTTTTTGATTTTTTTCAAAATTCTCAAAAACCCAACCGCCCTTTGCCAGACTCTTTTACGCACAGCACCACAGCCCTTCCGATGGAGATTTG